AAAGTTTAATAAATGATGGCCTCTCTATTTCCGAGAAAGGCTGCATTCCATCCACAATCCATTTTACAAGGCAATCTTCTACAACACTTTTTGATGTCAATGTATTGCTATTAACATCATGGCTGAAATGTGTCATAAACTGTTGTTTTGTTGGAGGGGCATCAGAACTCTCAGGGGCTGGGCGTTTTTTTGATTACTTACTTGTTTCAATGTTTTCTTGCAGCTCCTTTATTTTAGATGGATGCTTGCGCTGAAAAAAAACCGCTGCACTTAGTATATTATTATTAAAATAGAAAGAATCAGCACAAATCATTTGTTTTATTAAAATCCATTTCTCATGCTATATTAACCGATTCATTGTGATAAACACATTAAAAGGTGTAAATTACATTTTTTTCATGTTGTGGTATAGCACAATCTATGAGCCATGCATTCCCTCTTCAGATAAAAATATAAAATTCACAATCTTATTCAAACAGCCAGAGACTGTTCAATGGTAGCAGGAGAAAACAATAAATATTTGAAGGAGAATAAATACTGTGTCCCTTCTCAGAAAGGCAGAAGGAAAGGGCCAGGCAGTAAGTATACAAATACTTAAACAAACCATAAATCACTCGCCTCCTGCCGGACCTATTCAAGGTCACAGACCTCTCCCCATAAGTTTGCATTAGAATGCTCAGTTTGGAGACGAAATTAATTGTGTTATGAAACATGAAAGTAAAATTAAAAATAGATGTTTTAGTTTATCAAAACAAAATACTGTTTCAGATTTCCACGGCAGTTGTAGTAGTAGAGTATTTGCGTGTCTAAATGGGAAACATTAATTGATTTATTCACAAAAGCTACACAACAATTATGAATATTTAATAAGCCTATGTCGTAAATATGAAGTCTAACGAATTTTGCAAAAAAAATACCAATTCAAATTTTAAATAATCTCTTAATAAATTTCTAATACTAGGCCTACTGTCGGGGAAATAAATATATGCGCTTGAGTTTGAGCTTAAATATCTCTGAGATAGATTATCTGATTTTTATTAAACAAATATTTAATATAAGCTAGTCTAAATAAATTTTACGTGGTGGTAATAATAGAATTATCCACCTAGCAGAAAAATCTTGAATAATCTTAAAAAGATGAAAAGAACAAAAGGTACAGGTTTTTAAGAAACTCTGCACTAACGCTGAAGGTTAAAAATTAATTGTAGACAAACCACTAAACCAATATTTTGGAAATTTGTAGTGCTTATTATTTCGGTAGATTTATTGTTATTTTTCACGCATTTTCAAAATTTTATTTATCTACCATATTTTATGCTGCTGTTTATTCTTAAAACGCATGCTGAAATCATTAATAAGACGCTAAAACGTCGTTCAAAATACCATCGTGTTTGTCGTGACCCAAAAAATGACAGCGATAAGTCAGATTTATAATGAGAATATAGATGTTTTAACGTATTTATATTTGTAAACAAAAATTTATTCCGTGACTGGAAGCGGGCCAAATACGCATTGTATTTGTACGTTATTTCCCAGACGAGCGGGGTCGCGTGCGAATTTGCGACGTTGCCGATGCCTACCTGGCTACAACACTGACATTTTTTTGTAAACTATTCACTAATTTACTCACGGATAATTACTGTAAACATCATTATCTCTATACTTTGAATAGATTTTACCAGAGTGTAAATATCAAAATATCTAAGACAAACTAGCTAGCTAGATTAGTAATCCCTCATGACGACCATATAGTTCAAGTAAGGGGGGAGCTGATGCTGTGAATTCCATTAGTCATCGAAAATTCCAGGGAACATAACTCTTGGCGGGGATGGCAATGACCTCTCAGATTTCTACTCTCAGTTACGTAGTTTAAAAGTGGCAAATTAAGTAAACCATTACATGGATACCAAAAAAGTAGAAAATGTCAATGTCTACTTTACAGTCAGCTGGTATTATCTTTTAACTACTTTACATCAATCAACAAAAAACGAAAAGATTATCTTTGTGCATGTAATACAAAACTGAATTTTCCTACCACCATAGTAAATATCATAATGTTTTTGTGCTATCATAAAATCATAGTGTATTAGATGATTAGAATATTTTATTGGCATATTTCTGTAAATTTATGGATAATGAAGAAGAAATGTTAGTGTTGTAGCCAGATATACATCGGCAATGTCGCAGTGTCGTGCACGCTCCCGCCCGACTGGGAAATATCGTACAAATACAATGCGACCCGCTGCCAGTCACGGAATAAATTTTTGTTTACAAATATAAATATGTTAAAAAACATCTTTATTCGCATTATAAATCTGACTTATAGCTGTTATTTCTTGGGTCACGACAAACACGATGGTATTTTGAACGACGTCTGTAGCCTCTTATCAACGATTTTAGCATACGTTTTAAAAATTAACAGCAGCATAACAAATATTTTAAATACAATTTTGTAAATGCGTGAAAATGATAACAATAGGTCTACCAATAAGCCATAAAAATTTCAGAAACATTGGTTTGGTGGTTTTCTTACCATTAATTTTCAAACTGAAGTGTTGGTGCAGAGTTTCTTAAAAACCTGTACTTTTTACCATTCCTCAATAATAACAAATTTCTGCTAAACAGATAATTTTTTCACTCTCACTACGCAAAATTTCCTTAAACTAGCTTATATTTAATTTTGTTTCAACAAAATCAGATAATCCATCTCAGAGATATTTAAGCTCAAACTCAAGTGCAAGTGCACATATGTATTTCCCCGACAGTAGTCGATCGCAAGTAGGTACCTACAGAGGAGTAGGTATGCAAAGGTAAAACATATATTGTAGGATCCATCGATCTCTAACAATATTAGAGATCTCTGGTAGACCTAGAATCATATACAATAAACCGATTTACTCTAATAAACAATTTACATAATTTTAATTATCTATGAAGATTGTTCGGATACACACAAAGTTTTATGTGCCATAGCCATAATATTTATACTGAAGTACATGATGAACATAATGTAATAACGATAAACTTACCTCAATATGTAGTTTCATGTTGTATGCACTGCTTTTAAAAACTGATATTTGCTTTTTCACACAAAACTTACAACTCACCATAAAGTTCCCTTTTTCATTGACTTTTACGAGTTTAAAATATTTATTATAGGCGTCCCACGGTAGAATTGCGACATCGCCAGCCATTTCATGGTCAAAATCTCCCATGTTAATAAGCGTAATCACACAATAGTTTGACTAGAACGTAACAACAAAGACTATCGCTAAAAACAAAAACCACAAAACGAGAACGAATTCACAGAGTGCTGCAAGTGATGAACGCGCTTCACAAAATGGCACTGGCAGTGCTAGTGACTGAGACTGACTAGTGAGGCGAGTAGGGTGGCGCTGACCTAACGGTACGCCACGTGACTAGCAACAGGTGCTTCGTGCTTGTGACTCATCGCGCACAACAAAGAACCGGAAGGGTTGGTTTTGGTTTCGTACCTAGTCGAACTAAGTATAACATATGGAGATATCGTGGTAAAAAAGTAGCATATAAATGTAGCAACGCTACATTTACTGCTACAATAAATGTAGCGTGCTACAGTAGCGTTGCTACTTGTAGCACGCTACTACCCAACACTGCTCTATCACTAAGCTTTGATTCCTTTTGTTTCTCAAGTCCATCATTTAATTCGGCAAAATGTTTTTGAAGCTTTGCAACATGGGTAGCTATTTCCTCATTAGGATCCTGATCCCACCTAAAAAACTCTTCTAGCAAACGATCTAGCCTTTGTTCACTAGACTGTTCAAATACAAATATTAAACAATCCCACCTTCTTTAGAAGTCGAGCAAGTCAAAACCAGTGTAGATGGTTGATCACGTACTTTGTATGGTCGCCATTTCATCTAAAAGTATTAACCCAGGGATGCCCATCCCCCCTAGGCTCATGACGCACCCCCCCCCCCCAATTGAGTACCAGCCCCCCCACCATAAATGAGGTACACAAAAAATGTGAAACAGTATTCCCCCGCCCAGCATTATTTGTAAAACTAAAAGAAGTTTTATACATTTTTTAGATATTGAAAATTCAAAACCAGTATTATAAATAAATAAAGTTATAGTTTTGGCTGTATACATTGCTCAGAATTATACATATTTTGGGTTATTTTTACGTTTTATACATTAAAGAAGTTGAAACATGTCTTACCGGTATCTCAATTTATGTCCGGCCCAGAAGGCATTTTACGCAGCCTACTCTTTAAGAAAACTAGAGTACCGTAAACCGGGGTGAAGATGAACAAAACTCAGAAAATGTTTATTATATTTTTTTATAAGAAATCATAAAAAATGAAATAAATAAAAAATATTTTATGAAACAGCATCTTTTTTTCTACATAAAACGCATACTATAACAATCATAACCCAATTGGTGTGTTAAAAAAAATTATTTTAAGCGACCGTGTTTTTTTGTAAGAAAATTATGTCTCCCTAAATCCATGTATAGACAACTTTTAGAAAAACCCAAAAAAATATATGAAAACAAAATTTTTTAAACCTTAAAATAACTTTATTGTTAAGTTTTTTGTGCTTTTTTCAGATGTGGGGTGAAAATTAACACTAGAGCAAAAATACATTGAGTGTAATGCAAAATGTATAGGGTGTTCATCTTGACCCCAAACCCGGGGTGAACATGAACAGGTATAATTTATTTTTTTAAGTTAGATTTTTGTATTTAATTTTTTTTTAACTTAAGTTATTGTATTACCATTAGTCTCTTTATAAAACAACAAATATGTAATATGTTTCATATTGACTCATTGATTAGTGTTCTTTAATATGTTTAATTTATGCCTGCCTTCTTTATTTTAATTGAACTAACACATGTTTAATTATTATTATGATTGTAAATAATGTCCAACAAATACACACATTTTTTTTTGTCAAGTCTAAAAGTCTTGTCTGTCTTTAATATTTTTTTACATTTGGTGCCGAAACCCGACTTTATCATGTCAATAAGGAGATCAGAGAGGGAAAGACACCCTCCAGACAGATATACTCCAGCAATTGGGAATAACAACGACAAAACTGTTAATCCAAAGCCAAGTAATGACCAACCATCAGTATCTGCCAAATCTAGTACTTCTTCTAGTAGACGACGATTAATGGAAGTGGAGTTGAAGAAGCTGGAAGAAATACAGAAATTGGAAAGAGCCCATGAGGAAAGAGAAATGGAGCGACAACGACAAGTTGAAGAAATGGAGCGACAACGACAACGACAAGTTGAAGAAATGGAGCGACAACGACGAATGGAAGCTAGAGAACTAGAACGACAGAAGCAACTGCTGACAGCGAGAGCTGAGCTTGAGTCTGCTTCAGTGTGTGGCAGTCAACAGTCAAGCCGCCCTAGTAATCGATCTGAAACCAAGGTAGGACTTAGCATAAATCTTGATGATGAGGAAGAACCGCAAAGCAAGGTTGAAAGGTGGTTGAATGAAAAAGAACCGACAGTTCTTAAGTCCTCATCAGCCATCATGACCTCAGCCGTGCAAAAGCTTGCGGATACCTTCCAAAAAGCTATACAGCCTGTTTCATTTCGTCAAAAACTTCCAAGCTTCAGTGGCAAGCCTGATGAATGGCCGATATTTTTTTCGGCGTATGAAAAAACTGCCTATCTTTTTAGTGAGGATGACAACCTCATAAGAGTAAGGAATTGCCTAGAGGGAGAAGCATTTAGAATGGTTAAGCCTCTTTTTGTCTCAAGTCAAAATCTTAAGTCAATTATCAAGACCTTACAGATGCGTTTTGGTAGACCAGAACTCATTTTGGAGTCAATGTTAAAAAAGACTCGTAGGCTACCTTCTGTCAAGGAAGACGACACTACAAGTCTTGTTGAGTTTTCGACAAATATTTTGAATTTTACTGCTACAGCAGAGTCATTACATCTAGAAAATTATGTATTAAATCCTTACTTACTAAATGAATGTCTCAACAAACTTCCCTATAGTTTAAAATACAGGTGGGCTGAACATGTAAGTAATAATGCTCTAAGCAGTCCCGACTTGAAGGAGTTTTCCACTTGGTTGGAAAAACAATGCTCAATCCTGAGTATTTACTTTCGTCCTACAGAAGAGAAACTCTGGCAGAAGAAAACTGACATAAAGCCGGTTTATACCAGTTCTACCGAAGACAAACAGTTTAACTGTATGTTTTGTCTCGACAGCCACGAAAGTGAACGATGTGGAGTTTTCAGGAAGGCAGATGTATCACAGAGATGGAAAATGATTGTCGAAAAGAAACTATGTTTCTTCTGCTTTCGACGTCACCAGCTCCAAAAATGTAAAGTAAAAAAGGTTTGTGGGATAAATGGGTGCAGGTTGTTTCACCATCGTCTCCTCCATACTGACAAAATTGAGAGGTTTCCCAAACAGGACAGCGAACCGCAAAATAAAGAAATTATTAGCAGTCATGTTGTTAATAACCGTGTTCTACTAAGAGTATGTCCAGTGACATTATATGGCCCAAGTTGTCAGATCGACACTTACGCACTCTTAGATGACGGGTCAACAGTATCTTTGTTGGATTCAGCTACAGCCGATAAATTAGGCATCAACGGTAGTATTGAACCCCTCACGACATGCTGGTCCAATGCAACCCAACATTTCGACCCAACATCCATGACTGTGAAAGTTAAAATTAAAGGGTTATATGAGGACGAAGTATTTACATTAAACAATGTACGAACCCAGTCACCATTGGACTTACCAAAACAAATGGTGGATACTGGTAAACTGAAAAAGAAATGGTCTCACTTACGGTCAATTGTTCAACCTTTACCGTCAGCAAATTTGAAACCTACAATACTTATAGGTCAAGACAACTGTGACCTTATTCTAGCAAGGAAAATAATTGAAGGTCCTCCCAACTCTCCAGTCTTGTCTTGGAGCCGTTTAGGCTGGACATTGCACGGTAAATGTCATGAACACATTTGGCGAGTAGATAGTCAATTCACTTTAACGTCTTTTGAAAGTGAAAAACTTCATGATATTATCAAAGATTCTTTTGAAATCAAGAATTATGGCGTGTCCCTAGTAGAAGATGACAATGTGAAATCAGTTGAAGACGAAAAAGCCCTCAAGATTTTAGAAGATACGACCAAAAAAGTAGGGGATAGGTATGAATCCGGCCTACTATGGAAGTCAGAAGACTTTAAATATCCACCGAGCTATGAAAATGCGCTGAAAAGGCTTAAGGGTATTGAAAGGAAGATGGCAAGAGACGAAAACTTTCATAACAAATACAAAGCCAAGATCACTGATTATAAAGAAAAAGGTTACATCAGAAAACTACGTGATGACGAAGCTAATGTTATAAATGACCGGACTTATTATCTGCCTCATTTTGGGGTAATAAATCCAAACAAACCTGACAAACTGAGGTTAGTATTTGACGCAGCTGCTAAAGTGAATGGTGTGTCATTCAATGATGGTTTGCTTAGTGGTCCTGACCTTTTGAACCCTCTGCCAGCAGTACTTCTCAAATTCAGATTAAGAAAATTTGCGATCGCAGGTGACATACAAGAAATGTTTCATCAAGTACGTATCAGAAAAGAAGATGTCGATTCGCAAAGGTTTCTATGGAGAGAAGATCCGAACAACAAACCAGATACCTATATCATGGAAGCAATGATATTTGGATCAACGTGTTCCCCGAGTACTGCCTTGTATGTAGTAAACAGCAACGCCAAGAGGTTTCTACAAATTTACCCAGAAGCAAGTAAAGCGATTTTCTGCAGTGAATACATGGACGATCTACTAGACTCTACTGATACAGAAGAAGAAGCTAGAATTAGAATACAATAGATAACAGAAATTCACAAGTCCGGAGGTTTTAAAATCTGTAACTGGTTGTCAAATTCAAAAGAAATTTTACTTGAAATACCGGAAGATTTGAAGACAAACTCTACAAAACTACTGCAACCTGAAAGTCGTCTACCTACAGAACGTATCCTCGGAATGTGGTGGGATGCTGAAACTGACCACTTTTCATTTCACCGGAACGCCAAAAAGGTACAGTTAGTTGAAACAAGGTATCCGACCAAACGAGAAGTTTTAAGAGGAGCTATGTCCATTTTTGATCCATTGGGATTAGTTGTACCTACTACTATAAAAGGGAGAATGCTTGTTCAGGACATTTGGCGAACAAACATAACGTGGGACGAAGTTCTTTCGATAGAACTTAGTAAAAAATGGCAAGACTGGTTACAAGAAGTAAAATGTCTGCAGAGCTTCACCATACCTCGATGCTATTTTAACGTCAAAACAATTGAAGAAGTTGAACTCCATACGTTTGTTGATGCTAGTGAAGAGGCCTATGCAGCAGTTTCATATCTACGCCATGGATGTGCCAGAGGTACTTACAAGACCATGCTTGTTATGGCACGTGCCAAAGTAGCACCACTCAAACAAACAACCATTCCCCGACTAGAACTCCAAGCTGCTGTTCTTGGATGCAGAATAGCTTGTAGCATCATAAAAGACATTGACTTAACTATTTCTCGTCAGATATTTTGGTCAGATTCTGTAACAGTTTTGCACTGGCTGAAATCCGACCCTAGACAATTCAAACAGTATGTTTCCAATAGAATTGGAGAAATTCAAGATTTGTCTAAACCTGAAGAATGGAGATGGGTTCCATCAAAACAGAATCCGGCAGATGTTGCAACTAGAAGTAACAAAAAGTTTACATCAGCCATGCATTCTGAATGGATTCACGGACCCTCATTTCTAATGCGAGAATCTAGTGACTGGCCAATACAACCGTCCACACTACAAGTCAAGGAAAATGAAGAAAGAAAGAAGAAATTCGTCGGAGTTGTGAACAGTGATGAAACCCCTCCTCTTCTGACAGTTGAAAACTTTTCTTCTTGGGAAAAAGTGACACGTGTATTAGCATGGGTACACAGATTTGTTAGCATGCTAAGGTCCCATACTACCACCACCACCAAAAAGAAACTGAAAACGGTCAACGTAGATTTTGGAAATATACCAGAACTTCAACCAGAGGAAATTCAAAAAGCTGAACAGAACTTGATATCAATGTCTCAAAAGGCAAGCTTCAATGAAGAAAAGAATTTACTGCTGAAGAACAAACCGCTACCAAAGTCCAGTAGAATATTCTCTTTAAATCCCTTCATTGATCAGTCTCTAATAAGAATGTCGAGTAGAATACATAGTTCACCAGAAATAAGCGAAGAACAAAAGCATCCTATCATTTTAGACGGCAAAAGTCATACGGCTAAACTAATCGTAAAAATGTTTCACGAGAAATGTTTCCATCAGGGCATCGAGACTGTTATCAATATGACTAGACAACAGTTCTGGATCTTAAACGTACGATCAGTCGCCAAGAAAGTTCAAAGGAGCTGCATGAGGTGTAGCATAGACAATGCCAAACCTTATCCTCCTCAGATGGCTGCACTACCACAGTTAAGGACCTCAAAAGTGCAACATCCATTCTTCTACACTGGAGTGGATTATTTCGGACCTATCGAAGTTACTGTTGGCCGCAGACATGAAAAAAGATATGGTGTCCTATTTACCTGTTTATCCACTCGAGCAATTCACATCGAAACGGCTCATTCTCTTAACACAGAGAGTTGTATAATGGCGATTCAACGATTCATCAGCCGAAGACCAGTTCCCTCAGAACTATATTCCGACAATGGCACAAACTTTGTAGCTGCAGATAGGGAACTTAGAAACGCTGTAAAGTCACTCAAACATGAAAAGATCCAAAAAGACGTGGTGAACTACGGGATAAAGTGGAATTTCATTTGCCCGCGAGCACCACATATGGGAGGCTGCTGGGAAAGACTTGTTAGGTCTGTAAAGACCGCATTAAGGAGTGTTATGCGCTGCCAGTACCCAAAAGACGAAGAGCTTCAGACTTTCATGGTTCGCGTTGAATTTATAATAAATTCTCGCCCACTCACTCATGTTTCTCTGGATCCCAATGACCCCGAACCAATCACACCAAACCATTTTCTAAGAGAAGCTTACAAAATCAACCTAAACGAAGACCAACTGTGTAAACGCCAATTAGCTCGTGTTAAATCACTCCTAGACGGCTTCTGGAAGAGATGGGTGCACGAGTACCTTCCATGCCTTTCAAGACGGTGCAAATGGCACAAGAAATTGGACCCACCAAAGATTGACGATCTTGCAATAATAATTGAGGAAAACTGCCCAAGAAATACTTGGCCCCTTGGCCGAATCTCGGCTGTCTACCCAGGTCATGATGGCCAAGTACGAATAGTAGACATAACAACATCAAAAAGAACTTATCGCCGGCCTCTGACTAAAGTTGCAGTCCTTACCGTTGGAGGGGAAAACATGTAATATGTTTCATATTGACTCATTGATTAGTGTTCTTTAATATGTTTAATTTATGCCTGCCTTCTTTATTTTAATTGAACTAACACATGTTTAATTATTATTATGATTGTAAATAATGTCCAACAAATACACACATTTTTTTTTGTCAAGTCTAAAAGTCTTGTCTGCCTTTAATATTTTTTTACAAAATACAATATATTGATATCTTATTTAACAAGAAAGTTATTCAAGAAAAACCAAAAAAAGTGTTCATCTTCACCCCGGTTTACAGTACCGATTATGATTCTAATGGTTTGTATTCACAGGATTGGCGAGAGTGTCCGTAGCCATTAAAATATGGCCTCACTATTTTGGAAATAAAATAACGGACGATCAAAAACCCAATTTTGTGTGGTTTTTCAAGTTTTTCTCCATGTTTACTACATACGTCATTTATGAAATACTAATAATCTGTTAAGAGAACACGTCATATATGAAATTACGAACAGCTGTTCGATAAAGATTCCTTTTTGTAGCTGTCACTTAATATGTTTACATAAATAATGTTGTTTACGAATACTGTGTAGGTCCTAACCATTTCCCATAACGTTCGTAACCATTTCCGATCACGTTTGTAAGCAAATCCAAAACCAAGTGAGATTAATAACCGTGTGGCTTACATAACGGATTTGATTTATCACTGATACTAATATGTAACTGTAAATTAAATTAAATAACTATCCATCATCCAAGTCGGGACCCGGAGATTCTGTGTGTATCAAGTTGTACTTGAATTTTGATTACCGGGAAAAGACCGTGAATCAGTGTTATACAGGACTGGAAAACTTATATTTCTATATAAATAAAATTAGAATTTCATAAGTCACCTCAATTTAAGGAATTTTTTATTGCCAGAATATCTGCATAGCGTTCGTAACCTTTGCTTAACGAATTGTCAGCGTCTTTCTCTTCATATAACGACCCCCTCTCCATCCCACATAATCGTTTTTGAAAAATCACAGCTCCTTTGATGAAAATGAAATGGAAAAATGACTTCAACTTTAACGCTTGCGCCAACAATCGTCTGCTCCGTTTTACACTTCTGTCTGCTGTGCGCTATGTAACAACAGATTTCAGATACAACAGCTGGGGAATGATGACGATATAATGCTTAGTAAACTGTGATTGAGTGATTAGTATAACCATGGTAACTTTAGTAGGCTGGGATTGGGCAACGAGTAAATATGGGCACTTGTTGAATTTGTATTTGACTTGAAGAGAACCCTAAGAAAGAACAGAAGAAAAAATATAAAGACTAACAAAATTGTTCTCGTTACATACTTTTTAAGGGTGTTTTTATCATCTCGAAATATAATTTTACACTTTTGTATTACTTATCTATTAATTCCTATGTTGTGACACAGCACCTACCGGTAGCCTATCTGTCTATCATGAGCAGTAGCTTACAAAACTTTCTAAGGCTTAATATTCAAATTATTTATAGCAATACAGTGTTAGCAATTAGTTGAGTTTGAGTGAGCTGTAATTTTAAACAATGCCATTTGTACAACTGAACCAAGATAAATTATTTGAAATGTCATTATTGCACAATAATAATAATTGTGCAATATTGAATTTCGTTGATAAAAATGCAAATTGTTTTTATACTATATTGGATTTACTGTATTTTTCATTCTCCCTCCCCAGGTAATTGAGTATAGGCTACTTGATTGTATTTCAACGAGCTTTATGTCAACAAAGCGTTCTGTGCTAAGTCGTGGTGTAGCTGGACGTGTCTGTACCACGCGTTATCTTCTTTATCTATCTCAGCAGTTGAGCCATTCCGTGCCCTCCCTCTTAGATCTCACGTCATGCTAATCTTGAATAATAAATTCCTACACGAATCCTAAACTATCCTAAAATCCGATTTTAACTAATTGAATTCAATAGTATAACTATTGTCATTAATTAATCGACTTTCTAATCAGGGCTATTAGCCATATGACAACCAAAATTGCCGTGCCAAATCATATAATATAGATCAACTATAACTTCCAACGGGTCAACTATAATCCATGGTGATGGTTTTCGGCGTCAACCGCGTCGTCAGTTGTATTTCACTGCCAGACGTTTCGCCCTTACTATGTAGTGGCATCCTCATTGGCTAGGCTGAGACAGTCTCAGCCTAGCCACTGAGGATGCCACTTCATAGTAAGGGCGAAACATCTGGCAGTGAAATACAACTGACGACGCGGTTGACGCCGAAAACCATCACCATGGATTTCAATGACAACGGCCGCGAAAGCCTACGCATGAAGGGTCAACTATAACTTCCCATATAATATAGATAGAACCCTATTTCTTTTTTTTTTGTTTGAAAGATAAATATGTGCTCTAAACACTGATATATATTTAAATGAAAACTGGTCAAAAAATATTTGCACTAATAAAATAATATAAAATTAAAATTTTAATAAAACATATTT